AGTAATTTAATATTTTGTATTAAAGTACAGAAATAATGATGATTATAATATTGGTGAAGAAACAATTATTGGAATAAAAGTTTTCCAATATAAATCTCAAGATTATTACAAAGGAATTATTTATAAAACAAAATTTTCGCAGACTTGCATAATTTTAATTCTAATCATCACTTTATAACCAGTTACTTCATGAATTAACACAAAATATGACGCTTAAAACTGACCGCTTTAAGTTTGTACACTGATTTTCCTACGTAAAATTAAATTCCACACAATTGAAAAAATTATACAATATATAAATTATACAATAGAATTACTCTTGAATCATATTCTTATAAGTTTTAGAAATTATAATTTATTGAAAAATTATGTAAATTAAAAAATAATACTTTAAAGACTGTTCATAGCTTCTATAGATAATATATATATAATTTTGTTTGATACTTGCATAAGGAACCAAACTGTTTACGTTATTTATATGTAAAGTTTGCTTGATTATTATAGAAATACAAAAGTGTTTATAGTATTTATATAGAAATTTGCTAATTTATTATAATAATATAAAGCAGTATTTTTTATACTTTCAATTAAATTAATATTATTTTTCAAGAATTTTAATTTAAAGATTGAAATAATATTTCATGAACATCACATATAAAAATGAAACTAATTAATGTGGAACAATTCCAATATTATATAACGAAACTATACAAACTTTATATTTCATATTGACATACTTTATATTATTTACTATTATATTATATTATATACTATTATGAGGCTTACACTAATAATTTATATTTTAATTCTTATAATTTGAAATAAGTGACTTTAATAAAAAATTGATTATTTAAATAAGGATAAAATACAATTAAATACCAGATTTTTCAATTACATAGAATAATTAATTATCGATAATATGTTAGAATATTCCTTTATATAAATTATTTTATAAACTTACTATAAAAAAAAAATAAAAAACAACTTATAGCTTATTGTGAGTTTTTATGCAAGTGTCAACAGAAATCTATATTAGTTAATCCGTATTATCCTTTAGCTTTAACAAATTATTAAACAACAATTTAGTTTTTGCTATTATATTTAATTATTTATATACACAGATAAATTATAAAAGATATGTTTAGCTATAGGAAAATAAAAATATAACAATTATAGGACTCAGAAACATTAAAAATAGAAAATATTTATATTAAAGAACAAAATTTGTAATCTACACAATAAAATGTAAATATATTATAAATAATGATAACAATATTAGTACTATAGCAAAAATATATTTTATAAGAAATATCTCGATGTAGATAACATTGCTTCATAAAAATTACAAGACCCGAGGATGAAACATTAATTCAATTGACTAAATATTTGAATATCAGATTATATAAGTTATAAGAAGGTAGTAAGTTATGTAGTCGCGAAATTTGTAAGAACGAAGGAAATGTTTTAAAATGTACATATCATTAGTTCAGTTGAAACGTGGATATGCGAGAACGAAATTGGAGATGATTCATCATTGGTAATGATTGATTCTGACAGTGCGTTATTGTAAAAGTGTGCATCCTGGTAGAGTTGGATAGCGATCTGGCAATGCCGCGAACACAGCACATAACTATAAGGAAAATATACGGCAAAGTTCGGCTGTTTTTCTGCACGCGTTCTCACGAACAAGATATACCCGAAGTGAAAGTAATAATAACAAGAGGCTCAAGCGAAAGATATTTACAAGTTAGCGCTGCGAAATCCTATAAGAGGAGTACTGGCTGATATGCGCTCTGAGTAATAAAGACCTTCGTGACGTTTGATGTTTTCTCGGGTTCTTTTTCATCACTTTTTCAGACAAAGTTAGAAGCCTGAGTGATTATATGCTTCCTTACTTAAATAACTACTTTTTCAAATACTTTTTCAATTTGAATTGCTTTAAAATAGTCGAAAAATTCAAGGAATACTGAATAAATACTGTGCTTGTTATTCATTTCGTTCATCATCAATAAAAGGATATGTTATTGTTGAATATGGTGTGAAAACGTTGTTTATTTTCTTACGTTTGCAAAATTACACGAGATTTAAGCCCTCTATAGCTACAAATAATCGTTCACAATGCTCTATACATTACGTACTTTTCTATTTTTTAGTGTTATCTTATTGAAATATTTTAAAAATAAGAATTTAATAACCATTTTTCTGATTTAAAGAAATATTCATAAATTTCGTAGAATGCAATTACTATAAATAAATAATTTTTCTAATTATTCCCAACAGTTGTATGAAATATTTTTGAATTATATAAATTTCGCTACTTAATTAATAATAATAATAATAGTATATTATTATTTTTAAAACTTCCTAATGCCTTCTAATATTATTATCTATTATTCCATATAGTTATTTTTAACAATTTGTTAATATAAAGGGATAAGAGAAATGAAAATAATATTTTAAAATGTAAGAGTGTGACAGTTTTTTTAAAAAAAAAGTAATAAACAAATGTTACATTTTTTATGTTTTTGAACAAATTTTTTATTAAATATTCAGGAAATTAATAAATTCTATTCAGCCTTAATTTTTTCCGTAAATATCTATCTATTGATATATTTTTATATATATTTTTCATAAATACATTTAATTATATTCATTAGAAAATTTCTTCTGAATGCATATATAAATATAAAATTAAAAAATTAATACCATTATTATTGTATATAACAATATATACAATGAATATAATTAACTCTTTTATGGATATTTAAACTATAGCTTAACTATTTATAATTAATTTCTATATTATAAGGTTTATTAGTAATTATTAATTTTTAATAAAAATAATTAATTAAAAATAATTACAAATAAAAATATATAAATTAGATTAAAATTGAAACAAAATTAAGCGTAAAAGTAATTTTAATCTATTTTACAATTTAGATTAAAGTCGAGATTCATTATATTCATATAATACATTCATTATGGAATTAAAAAAATCATATTACTTTTAAAAAGTAAATACTTACATTATAAATAAAAATATTTTCATTCTGCTTTTTAATTTAGATAATAATTTTATATTAATTAATATATAAAAGTAGACTTAACATGCAAACAGGTTTTTAAATTATTATCTAGTAATTTCACAAAATTCTCTTTAATTAATCAGATTTTAATGTAGTGTATTTAATTATTAGAATAAAATCTTTTAATATTTAATTGATAGTATCAATTGTTTAAAGAATGTTTGAAAATTATATATCATTATACAATAGAGATAATTAATATTATTTACTATTAAAATAAAAATTTACTTAAATAATACATTGAAGTCAATTAAAAGAAAAAAACAATAATACACATTTTCTGTGGATTATATTTCCTACCATTCATATTTGATTTTATTATGTAGTATTTTTTTTCATTGAAATCGGCATAAAACTAGTGTTTATTTAATTTTTATATAATACATAAATATAGTATAAAATGAAGTTATAAAATTCAAAATAATAACAAATTGTATATGACAATAACAGTTAAATATCGAAACATAATATAAATAATATCAAAAATTTATTATGATACAAAAACTATAGAAAAAAATAATATAGGAGACATACAATATTCGCTGTATAGTGTATATCCGCAAGTTAAATTCGTATACATATGTATTATTGATAATTTAAACTTTTCATAGCTTATAATTATTTTCAGATTTAATCAATGCTTTGAAAATTAAGCTTATATATATATATATATATATATATATATACCTAGTTAATCGTAATTCCCTTATTTAATTTTTTTGTATTCTATATTTATAATTTATAATATATATTTTAATGTAATTAACGTAATTTTATTGTTGCTATTTTATTGTTACATCGATTATGCGGATTCTCTGTAAATACGAGTTGTGAGAATAATTAGATATTATAGAATAATTATATATATAGAATTTAATAAATCGGTTTGAACTATTTTTAATTATTTTTTTACAAATAATTTAAGTAAACTTTGGGCATCATTTCAATTAAAATTAAAATTTCATATAATGAAAAATTTTGAATATTATCTTTTGTGCCAAAGTTAAAAGTTAATGAAAGTGTATAAATAAATATTTTCATCAAATTTCTATAATGACAACATAAATTTGATTGTGTTACAATTTATGCATTATATTATTATTAATATAATTATGTAATTTAAGTATGTGTAAATGATGTATATTCAGTTTTTTAACGATATGTTAATTCATCGAAGAAAAATAAATAAAATTTTTTTTAACGTTGAATATTTTTTTTCGAATTCAAAAAAAATAATATAAAAAATGTTCATTCAATATTTTAAAATAAGACATTTTAGATAAAGTGTCTTAAAATATTCAAAAATATGTGCTTTTCTTTCTTGAATACATAATGTATATTTATCTATATATAATAAAACTACTACATACTATGTTATAGAACAATATAATAACTACAATAAACAAGGCTAATGAATGGGTATATTAAAAGAAGTTAAGCAAATGTATATTGTGTTAAATAAATGTATTTTTAACTGAATATAGTTTATAACATTGGTTCAAACAGGTCAAAACTTTACAAAAATACATTAATAAACGAATATAAAATTGCTTACTTTCATAAAAAATTGTCATATATTCAATTTGTTTCAAATTTTATATATAAATACGGATAATTTGTTATTATATTATTAACATAGTTTAAGCACAAGCAGTACTTTCATTCTGTGTTACATAAATTTTATCTTAATTTGTATCCGAGTCACTCATGAGATTATCTAATTTTTCTTAACAGGATAGGTAAGTGACACATTACTATATTCGAATGTATATACTTTCATGAAATCTCGATAAGATAGATAATGGGGAAGAAGCCGAAAAAAAGACAGTTCTGGGGAGTTGCTAACATAATAATTAGCTGGTTGTAGTTCCTAAACCAGCCACAGCTGGTTTTACATTTATTTTGAGTAAGTGCTCTGTATGGGTGGTTGCCTACATTTGAAAATTGAAATCGGCCTACAATAAGTGTTGGGGTCGCCAGGATCGCTAATGCCGAGTCTATCCGAATGAGGAATTAATTTGCCGAGAAGGGCCGAAGAATCAAAGCCGTTGCGTTGATTGCAAGTGTGCAAGATCACTTTGCGACAGGCTTAATTTTTGTGCAGCAGTTAAGATGCCGCGTGGGCCGGCGAGGTCGTGTTGGTTTTATTTGTTTTTGGCTTTGTAAATTTGTTCTTATTATAATTCAATAATAAGCGAAGGAAAGAAGCACAAAATGTCGCAGGTCTATGAAAGTAATTTTTTGCCAAATAATTTACTCATGTTCAAGGCGGCGATTTCGAAGAGCTTTGAGGATATTTCCAAATGCGTGAGGTAAGTATTTTTATTATTTTGTTTGCACAATTCGACGTATTTTATTTTAGAATGCATTTCCATATTACTTATGTTTAAGGATACATTGAAAATTGTAAATACTTTGTTTTTTCGCATGTCATTGAAATGAAAGTATAAGCTTATTTGTACCTATTTCATTGTTTGCATGAAATATTTTTAATTTTGTTTAGCGCATTGGTCCTATGAAAACCGTACGTAGTATTTTCAAACGCTTATACAACTTATGATGTATTATTCATAATCTTGTACATATTTGTTAAAATAACACGATACAAACTAAAACAATATAATTGCTACTATACTTTGTATTTATATCTAATCTCTTAATCATTCTCTTGTTTGCCTTTTGTACTAATACATTAATAATTGCAATGCAAACTCCTTTACTTCTTTTTCGATATAAAAATTTTTTTAAAAGCGTATATGTTGGAATCTCCAATATTCGCTTTATTATATTTTTATTTGACGGTTAACTGTTAGAAATCACCTTTGGTATTTAAATATGCGGGTACGTTTATGGCAGAAAAAATATTGTAAAAATTTTTCTTTAAATAAATATAAATAAATGTATTATGAGATGATATTTTCATATAAAATACTTTTTATTTTCTTCGTAGAAACTAATTATTTAGAATTTATCTAGAATTTAAAAAAGTATATGTTAGTAGTTAAGTAAAGCTATTTTATAAAAGTGATCTTATAAAAGTTTATAAGGCTATTTATAAAAGTGATAAATATATGATGTGGCATAATAATTATTAAGTTTTAACAAATACTAATCTTTTTTTCTCATATTATTTAATAGTAATTCTTTCAATAACGTAGCTATAAAGATAAAATTGACATTTTTACTTATTCTATTCAATTTTTAATATTATTTTATATTATTAGATTATTATTATTTATGTTACTAAATATTATTTAGATTATTAGATAATTACATACTCTTGTATTTTTATTATTGTACAAAATACATCTTTTTATGCATAAACTTTGTCTTCAATTTATAATTAAAAATTTTAAATTACTTTTAATAAATTAAATAAATAAGAATATATATTTAACTAAATGAAGAAAATAATTTTTATTTTATATATTAAATAAAAAAAAGATGTATTTAACGAGGTTGGGAAGAATGCAAACTTGTAGATTTGAATCAAATTGCACATCGTCCCGGTCTGATTACGTACATTTTATTCAGCGATTCAAATTTCAAAGAAGATATAAATATTATTATTACAAATCAATTTTTTAAGTTTTAAGCTATTGTTTGATCTAACTAAAATAGCTAATTTAAACTTCTAACGGTAATTGTTGTGCAGGAATAGACTTTTGAAAGATATCAAATCTTTAATATTATGTATATTAAAAATATAATAAATAAAGATAATTTAAAATTATTTTAGAGAAGTTGTTTATCTAGTGTCTTGAATTTATTCAGTTTTATGCTTTTTACATTATAAAAAAGTTTATTTCTTTATTCATTTATTTTGAGTTTTGATTAAGTATTTCAGTGTACCAGCAACTCTTATGTAGTATTAACTAGTGTATTTTCAATATTTTTATCATATTATAATATTTACTTTCTTTTTTTGATATGTAAAATATTAATACACATAATTGCTTTTATATAGTGCTGAAACAGAACTTACTGTTTTTATGTACTTGATTATTATGATTTATGATAGTGTTTAATAATTTTATGTTAGAATTAAACTTAATGAAGAAATAAATGTATTCAAATTTATTTGTACACATACATTTTAAATTCTATTTTTTATATAAATAATAATATAATAATTAATTACGGTAATCGATAAATAAGATAATATAGCATATTGCATTAATTTGTGATCAAATAAAAATTTAAATGATACTGCCTTACAACCAGACAAGAAGTAATTTAATACTATTATAGCATAAATGTGTTGTTTAGGATTTCGGACAAAGAAAAACTCTATCTCCCATATAGAATTTCATTGCACAGTTGCATATTTGCTTCTCCTTTAATAAAGTAAACATGACTTTGCATCTTTATAGGAAATACTGAAGTTTTATTGAACTTTCATACCATAAATATATTAATTATGACAAGTTAATGGAAATGTTAATATATATTTTTATCTTACCTTTAACTATTTTCATGTGAATTTTATCATTTTTATTAAAATAACAAAATATACTAGCTACTATAGCAAGTAATTAAATTAAATAAAACATATGTAAATTAACAGACTTCATTATATATTTTTTAAAGTTTATTGTAATGAAATTCATTACAATTATTCACAATTTTGCTCTTTTTCATAAAAATTTGTTTCAAGTTCTTTAAAGCATATTAACTAATTATGGAAATGTATAATTTTTATATTATGAATAAAATGTTCATAGGAAGTCTGATAGAAGAAATTTAATTAATGGTCTATTACAATATTACATTTATAAATGATTCTTTCATTTTGAATTAATATAAATCTTATTCTGAAAATTCAATATTATATAATTTATTATTCATATTATAGTTCCATATAACTCCAGTTGATTTATATTAATATTTCATAAATAATATTGGTATTTGTAATTTTTCAATATAACTAATACATCAATTAAATGAATGAATTTGTAGCAAGTTAAATTGTTTTATTGTATTCATTATTGTTATTTATTTTTCATAATTCTTTGCTTCTTCCTATGTTAATATATAAAACAATTATTTATTTTATTTATAGTGAAGAGAAATTTTTGGAAATTTTAACAATATTAGAATCAAAGCCAGGAGTTGTAAAAAGATTACACAAAGTTATGGAAAATAATTTATTTAATACTTTGCAAATGGATCTAGAAGTATTAGTAAAAGAAGAATGTATGGTAGAGGGGATGAACAAATTGAGTCATTTAATAGAAGAAACAATAATACCTCTAAACGTTAAAGTGTGGTAAGTGCATATAAAATTTCAGTACTTATTAAATCTAGTTTTTTTATTTGTTTATACTTGTATCACTTTATGATTGTATTTTTGTTATGGGATACTAATAATTACTTAAATTAGGAGACCACCAGGAGATGTTAATCTTCATTTACGGTCATTAGATGCAGATAAAATTAAAAAAGAATGTGAAAGTTTAGAAGTACATATCAATAAACTAGAAAAGGAAAATGAGGAATTGATGAATAAAATTGCTGAAAGAAGAGGAAATATACAATCTATTCAACAAAATATGAAGCAATTATTAAACATGCCATTTAAAATATCTGAATTGGAAAATACTTATAAATTTAATCAAGAATGCATTGAAAAATTAAACAACACATAATACCATGGAACAAAATTACAAGATTATAATGAATAATATTTAAATAAGAATCGATGTGATATGCTACGACAATTTTTCTAGGAGACATATTCTTCCTCTAATGATTATCAAGATTTTTAAGATTTTTACAATATCCTGCATTTTTCTTCTATGAAGAAATGTATACATATATATATTTATATAAAATTGTAAATATAAAAACATTAAATAATATTAAATGTAGACTTTTATCTATTCTATATTATTTAAAAGTTTAATATTATTTATGTTTTCTTGTAACTTCTTCATTTCCTGTTGTTACTTTTACCAATATCAGTTATAAAGCATCTGTTTGTTTTTCAAAATATTGAAACTTTTAAGAACATTTTCTTCGTCATTACAATATATTTCTTATCGTACTATTCATCATATAATCCCTGTTGCATGATTTAATTCAGTAAATTCATTATATATTACGTTTCCGCTTTTTTCACATTTATTTTCAGAGATTTTAATTGTGTGTATTTGACGTTTTAATTTTAATTTAAACTTAAAGATTAAGTTTAGATTATTCAAATTACTATTCTTATTTTTTCATTCAACATTCAAATACTTAATAAACTACATGACTGCGTAATTAATATTTAAAATTAAAATTTGTTTATTCCACAATTAAAAAAATTATAAATAAAATTACAATATTTTTATAAATTGTTACATTGAATTCTATATTTGTCAAATTAATTTTAATATACACATATTTTATAATAAATTATAAGAATTAAAATTTAGTGATCATTATAAAAATTTTAATTCTTTAAAAATAAATAATATTGGTGTATTTATCTAATGAATATTTAAATATTTAATTACATTAAAATTGTTAAATATTTTATAAATTTGTAGTATCTTATTTATTTAGTGACATTAAAGAAAGGGATGTAATACATATTTATATATTTAATGTATACTTCAAATTGTAATTGATTAAGTGTCTAAATAAGAACCTATTAAAAATGTAATTTGAAAACAATATATTAGATAAATTGATTAGGAATTACATTATATATATTACTTTGTGATACAGTAGATATACATATAGAAAGTAATATTTCAGTAAATTAATGTACATCAATAGAAATTTTACTAATTTTTCTACGATAGTGTAAATGTAGTATATATGTATATATATATATATATATATTTCTACTGTGGGATTTGTTGAATTATTTTCGGAATATTGCTCAAAAAGAGAAACCCGTTTTTTATTTTTATTAAACCAACTAGTATTGGTATATTTTCCATTTGAACACTAAGTATATCTATATAAATTATAGAACATTAAGGTTTTGTTGTAAAAGAAATGTATTATTTATATTAGATTTTGTGACCTTACTTATAGTTTCCTGCGTTTTCGATTTTATATTTTAAATAGAATAGTAAACTGATAAATTTGAGAGATATAAACGAATACAGTGTGAATATTTTATCCTTAAAATTTTAATAGCACATTATTATAAGTGAAATATTTATTATTAAATAACTATAAATAAAAATATGTCATTCAAGACTATTATCGACAATTTATAGTTCTAATAGATCTGTGCATGATTTGTGGTAGTAACAATTTCAAAGAAATACACGTTAAACTACACTTTAAGCAATAGAATTTTTTACATATTCGCGCTTTTTACATTCTCATCAGATGTCGTTAGTTCACAGCGTGTACCATAATGCATTTTATTACATCATAGGCGATATACTTTGGGCATGCGCAAGTTTAATTAAAATAGTATAGCTACTAGTAGAAACTACAAGGTAGCTAAAAAAATATGGGATTTATAAAAATTAATTAGTGGAAATAAAGTCGAAAGAGTACAAGAAATTGTAGAGGACAAAAGGAGACTGAGAGAGAGACAGAGAGAGAGAGAGAGAGAGAGAGAGAACGAAAGGAGATAATTAATTCATACGGATTTAATTGCAAATAGGAGAGAGCTAATCTTTAATACAGTCAAATAAGTTTCCAAAATAAATTTATTTGTTTGCATAAATTTTATAAACATAGAATTCTTGATATTGTAAAATATAAAGACGTTTATAAAGCAATCGATCGTTAAATGAAATTTGCTAGTTAAATTAAGTTTTGTAGTAAATTTAATTTATGAAAAATTAAATATTCTCTGTGTACGGTGGTGAAACAGTTTTACATAATCTTAGTTCTGATGATGAATTCCAAGCCTGCTTAATAAAGTAAAATAAAGTAAAATCTGCAAAATTGAATCATACACCGTAGTGACAATTTGAAGTGTTCGCGCCGTCGAGTCAACTTATCATCGAACTGCCAGCGAATAGTTTGGAGGAATCGATCTCGATTTGTCATTGGTCAATAACAATGAAAATAATAGCAACAACAAAATAAAAGCAAAAGTGCGACTCGCCAATCTCGCTAAATCTTACATTCTGGAATCAATGAAAGCTTTGAACGAGAAACGCTAGATGTCGATGGACTTGTGATTTGCAGTTGAGGCGCGCAGCTTCGTAGCGCGAAACGTGGAAAAAGCCTCAACTGACTGCGCACACTCGTCACGCGCACGCCATTCCGTGTACCGTAAATTTCGGCTCGCCTTCAACACTTCAGGATTTCTGCGCTATCTTCTACTTTCGACAGCTATTGTGGGCAGCCGAGCTAGAAAAGACTCGAAAATTTTCCCTAGTCCTGTCGCCGATCGTGAGGATCGAGCGACGTCCAGTCGTGCAAAGGAACCGGACTCGCCGGATATCCCGACGGAGGTGAGTGCGTTCTAATCTTCTTTTCCTTTTTGTTTTATCGACGTGTAGGAGTCTCATTGTCGCGACTCGAGCCGCGCAACGTAAATACATACAGGCGCTCGTTCCTATATGTGTTTGTGAGACTCGAAGGAGCTGCTAGTATCGATCGCGTGGCATCTCCATCTCTGTCGTTCTTATCTATCACTTTCCAAAACGTGCCGCGCGTTATTAATCGACGATTTGAAAGCCCCATCGAGATACTCAACTGCTTGTTTTGAACAATACAAGGTTTGTGAAGCTTTTCTTTTCTTTGATTCGAGGTAGATAGGTTTTTCGTCACCTTGCAAACCACCTCAAGCATAACTGGTACTTATCGCTTGCGTATTTCGAGGTGACATTGAGGTTAGGTGAGCGTCGATGACGCTTGCTTGCTTTGTGCATTTGCTGTTCTCAGGAGTTGAGTAGAGGAACGCAGAGCGGAGCAAACGTAGATGGAGAATGTGAAATATAAATGCAAGGAGGAACAAACAATTTTAATACACCCAACATATGCAACATGGTATAAAAACAGTATAAAAAATACATTTTCCCTATGCGACCGATTCGCAGAATTCCTTATTTTTCTTAGAAATGTGGGGTTGATTGTTTTGAATTCAGATCTTTCAGAATAGCGAAAATTAATCGACTGCTAATGTTACGTATAAATGAAATTATCAATCACCTTTTAATAATACTATTATTGTTAATAATACTATTTAGGTATAAAAAAATTCTTTATTGTCAATTTAATTTAGTATTTCGAAATAAACTATTTAGGGCTACAGCACTATGAATATTAAAAAATATTTTAAAAAATTAAATGAAAACTAATAAAATTTATTTTTTAATTTAAAATCAATTTTTCGTGTTATATGTATGAGTGTCGTTGTTGTGTGTCGCACGCGGGCGTGTACTTTTAATTTCGAAATTTACTGCACTAATACTCTTTGAAGACTGTTAGAAACAAGTAATATAAAAATTTACTTTATCAATAAATTAAATTTAATATTTTAATATTAAATATCTAATTTACATATAATAAATAGTAATCAATATCTTATTTATTCTTTTTTTTTATTGAAAAAGCAATTATTATCTTGAATTATTTAAATCAATTTTAAACAAATTATTTAAATTCTTGTAAATTAATTTTATAATTAAAAAAAATATAAGTGGGTCAATTGATTTTTAATATAATTATTTATGCACAATTTAATACAGTAAACAAGTCAATTTATTTTCTTTTAAACAAAATAATGACTGTATATATATATATATATATATATTGAATACAATTATACAATAGAATACAATTGTAAAGAAACATAAGTCAATTTTTTTTTTAATTTTCTAATCAATAGTTAAGAAAAGGTAAATACGCGAAATTTTAATACCTATTAAGTGCTTAAGAACTTCACTAGGAAAAATAAATAGATTTGTAACAGCCTGCAATTTTTATCATTCAACATCAAATACTAATAGAATAATTCTGGTATTGTGAATACTTTGATTATTTACTTTCATAATAATTATTTGATATTATAAAATATTTAAAATATTCTCATATTTTAATAATTGAAATGATGTATTATTAATGTTATTTTTAATATTTATAATTAGTAATAAAATTTCAATTCGCCATATCTTCATAATTTTTAGATAGTAGTTTGGTATATTGCTTAAACGTAAAATTCTTTTAAGAAAATTCTATTCATTATTTTTCAAAAATTTAAATAATTGTATGAAAATATAGATACAATGCCCATCCTTTATAAATAGATACTATATACAAAATAACTTAAATTGTTTTTATTTGAATAGAACTTATAATTTAATTGTTAAATAAATAATTTTTTCTCTATAAAATAATTCAGCACCTGCTATTTATCTTTTTAAATTTCTCAAATTTATTGTATTCGAATTAATTATTAACATTTGCTTTAATTAAATTTGATTTAAATAGATAATGGAATAATTATAATAAATATAAAATAATATAATAATTATAATACATAAATATATATATATATATATATATATATATATATATATATATATATATATATATAAATAAATAAATAATAAATATTTTTTGCTTATTGTATTTTGAAGAATGTCGTTAACAATAACAAAGGATAAACTCAATTTAGAATCATAGCCTTATCTGTATTAACGTTGATAAGATAAGTATGTAAATATAAAGGAAGAAACGAAATGTGTATTTCATTTAGTGTAAAATTACTAAACGTACTTAGTGTTAAAAGAAAAGAAGCTCGCGC